GCAAGGGGTAACAAGTTAGACAAGAAATGTAATCACTACCTTACTTATGTAACCTTAGCGCACCCCCCCCCAGTTCATTACTTTAACAATAAATTTGTTTTAAAAACACCCCAAGAAAGTCTTGCCTTTAAATCACTGGGACTCCCAAGGTTTGATTTTTCCTATTCAGCTCACTCTTATGTCTTGAATCCCATTTCCTGACCTTCAGATCTATTCATGGGGTCGCTGACACAAGATTTGTCATACGCTCTTTGGCTTTTGTGCTTCACAGTTCTGATGTCAAACTACAGTTTGTTCAGGTGATTATGAGTTTCGAAGTCCAGAGAGTAAGGATGGGCTGTGGAGACAGGAGGAGGGCAGCTGCACAGGAAGGGCCTCAGATCCTGAGTCTCTACGGCCACTGTAGACTTTACCTCCTGGTTAACTTCATCAACGAATCCCTCTTTTAAAGATGAGCTTTGTTTAATACAAAGGAGAGAAAAATTCAGCATTCCTGTCAATTCAGTGTCATCATGACGTAGCTACTGAACATCCAACTTGCTAGATACTATAATAGGACTGCTATTTTTTTGAGGTGAGATGTTTTATATTCAGTGCATATTCTGCTAAGTGTATATATATATATATATATATATATATATATATATATATATATATAATTATGTATTACAGTCAGGATTTTTTTGATTAGATTCAGAGAATAAAACTTGCTTCATCTTATTTATCTGAAAGCTTTTGCAATATGAAAAGAAAAAACCCCAAGAAATTATATCATAGAATTTATGAGTTTAGCTGAATTGAATCTGGAATGTATCATATCTATATTAATTTTTAACAGCCTATTATGGAGGATTTGCAAAGTTTAAAGTAATAAGCTGGGTTTATCCACAGCTCCTTAATTTTTATCACTTCAGTGACATTATTAGCTCACTGAAATATCAATTAATCAGGGAATATATATCGTGATGGTTCATTGGCTTTTCTGGTTAATTGTAGGTTAAGGAGAAAATGGTTTGTGCATCAAGACATACTGAAATTGTTACTAAACTTTTTCCTTTTTATGATATAATGTATTCATAATTCAACAAATAAGGTTAAGAGATTGCTCTCCTGTCAGCTAGGTATGATACTGGATTCAGATACTGGATACAGACCCAGAAATCTTTCTGTCCCAAAGTCAGACAGATGGCTCTGCGTTGTGACGGAGGGGGCAGGAGGTCTGCTAGGGCAGCTCATAGTCTATGCCTGAGGATACCAACCGAGAGGCCTCTGCTCAGATCATAAACTAAGAAAGGACTTTGCAAAGAAAGAGAAACACCATGCTGGATGAAGCAAAATTGTATTCAGTGATAATTCAGCCTATCTGAAGCTTAGTAAGGAAAACCAAGAATTGGTAAGAAGTAAAAGAAAAAAGTTATCTAATGTGGTCGTTAATGACCACAGGGCTTCCTTGCTTAAGGAAGTGATCTAATCAAATTTGTATCTTTGAGAGACCTCTTAGGTAGCTTTGCAAGTGATTGGTGAGGAAAGGATAAAAACAGGAGGGAGAAGAATCGAGGGATGTGGTGGCAACTTGGCCAAAAGACAAGCGGACCCAGAGTAGCTGGGGATGGAAAGGTAGGAGAGGAGAAGTCTCTTATTGTCCAGCAGTTTCTAAAGTGTGTCCCAAATCCAGCACCATCTGAAAACTTGATAGGAATGCAAATGATCTGGTGACATCTTAGATGTATTAAGTCAGAGCATGCTGGGGTAGGGACCAGCATCACCAGCTCTTTGGGTAATTCTGATGCATCTTAAAGTCTAGAAACTAGGGCCCTAGATTGGGATATAGGATTGCTAGATGACTTGGTATTAGGAGAAAAGGAAATAGGTGTCTTGAGTAACGTTACAAACTGAACCACTAATGACTGAGTCACTTCATTAAATGTTTCTTAGGATCTTTACAGAAACCAGGATAATCAGAAGCTTGTATATAATTTAAAAACATATTTAACAATAATCTCCTAGCCTTCTGACACACACATTAATTAGCTCTTGTCCACAGCATCCTACCAATGACTTCCAAATGTTGAGTCCAGTAGTCATCTTTAAATGGCACTATGTGTTTTTAAAAGATGGAGAATGATGGTAGAGGTGATAGATTAAGATGCATTGTACTAATAAATGGACTTGTCCAACTATTTAAAGATAACAGAAAAATTTTTAAAAGATAAGGATCAAAACCTCTGCCGATAGAGCCCAGTACTCCATGTAATAATCTTTGTAGGTTTGAGAACCATGCATCTTATCTCACTACCTTCTTTCCAATCTCCTGAAGGTCCTTTACATTAGCCAAAACAAATATGAAACTCGAGGGAAGAGGAACTACTTCTATTAAGGTCAGCCTCCTGGGACAGAGAGCCAGGTAGAGAATGATGGAGAAAGCATCTAGTTATGCAAATACAAGCAAGACACTCAGCACAATCCCATTCTATCTAGTTTTATGCCATCACACTGCTCAGTTATGTTGGTTTCTTGTTGTCCACTGAGTTCTTCATGAAGGCTACCCGACATACAACTCAACCCTTAGTCTCTTTTTGCTTTACTCTCATTTCCTGACTATAAATACAATCTCCAAATACCAACAACCTGCCAAAACAGATCTCATCAATGAGTCACAGCTTCTGTATTTGTGAATTTGCCTATGTTTATAGTAGGCTTTGCACAAATCAATAAGCAGTGTCTTTGCAGTCATTCAGAGTCATGTGTAGGGCTTTGACAAATTAGAAACACACATTCTGAGCAAATGTCAATCATTGTATCAGCTTTTGTACTGTACACAAGGGTTGTTAGATGATGCATTTAGTACTGTTCTATTATATTTCTGTACTTTTTGGTGGTGATTTTGCTAAAGCAAATCACCCTGTTAGCTGCTCAGTGGGGGAAAGTGTGTATTTGATCTTGAATGATCCCCTTGTCTACCAAATGGTGGGTAGATCTGCTGAGAAAGAGGAGTAGGTCAGTCATAGGGAAAATAGGACTAGAAGAAGAAAAAACACATGTGACTTCAACCACAACAAGACTGTGAAATATGAAGAGACTTTGTATTGCACATGTTATCTGAAATGCAAATTGAATGCAACAATAGCATTAATTAATTAATTGATTGATTGATTTTTGGACACTAAACCCCACAAACAGCATCTAACAATTTAAAATAAGTAGAAAGTCAGATAATTTAGTAAGAAATGAAGATTTCTTAAGTTGCTGCATTCTATATATTAACCTTCATTATGGACTAAGCCCCATCACCTTTAATATGATTTCCTTAAGAGTTTGGGAACACTTCTATGAAAATGACATTTGTTTTTAAAAGATACTGATTGATTTGTACAAGGTAGAAATACAAGTTAATAGCAAGAAAAAGTCTTAAATCAAGCATTTAGCTATATCTCCACTGAGGTCTAAATATTTTATTTGAGACCTTTCAATATGCTATGTTAAATTTTGAAGGCCTGTAGAATCTTTAATTTGATCTTTAAAAACAACAGAATCTGAGCAAATGTCAACAAAATCAGTGAATTAAAATATTCTATCTGTAGCCTATTTGACCAGGCCTATCAATAAACAAAAATGTATTTCCTAGGATTTTAGGTGTGAATAGTAATCTATGAGTTTTAATTTAATATTCTACTAGAAGTCCCTAGGAACATATGAGCCATCTGGACATCTGTTGAGTTATTCTACACACACACACACACACACACACACACACACACAAATGCACTATTTAAGAAATGAAATAAAACTCACAATAGATTTGCACTAAAATCCTGTTTATGTATAGTTATGTTTTACACAAAACTTAAGTTTTGAAAATTAGCTATTATAACAGAATTACTGCATCTCTCCCCTACATGATTCATGCACACATTAGTGAGTATTTCTCATGGCTAACCTGAGTCTTGTCACAGAACACAGATAACTCTACTCCTGTTTCCTGAACTGCTAGGTTCAAATGGCAGTAATTCACTCAATACTTTACTGTTATTATTAATGTCTAACCTTTCTATCTGAGGTATCTTGATGTGCTATGCTAAGTTCTAAAAGCCCATGTAGTAGTTATTCTTTGTTTAAAATATATTAAATGATTTTTAAGTATTTGTCACAGGAATTAGCATTTAACAAATCAGTTTATGAACACAATGCATCTTGATTGATGCACCCCTATCATCAATGTTCCCAGCCCTCACAACCCAATTCCTTCCCTCAATTTTCTTACTGTCATAAGGAGATGCATTGAGTATTATGACTGCATGCAACCCTTTCCTCTTTTCATTTGTATACCCCTTCTTTCAAACAGTCATTATTCTTGATCTTTAGAAACAACACAATTTGAGCAAATGTCAATAAAATGCATACATTAAAAATAGTCATTCAGATACATCAATATCTCTAGTAGGATGATAATAATGATTAAACTAAAAGCAACAGCAACATTTCTTGCAGCTACAAGACCTCTCGCGCTCTGTGCTCACTCACAAAAAGGTAAGTCAAACGGTAGAGAGTAAATGTGATCCCATAATAGTCTCCCTGACCTAGTGTTAGCGGAGGTGTCAATCTGGAAGGGAGAGGAGGGAGGAGGGACAAATGGAAATGAGTCTAATGTTGATTTCAGATCCCAAGGAAGGGAGAGCGAGGCAACACTCTGACATGGGCCACATCAGAGGTGAATGTAATTCATTCTAAGTCCTGTGGGGAAAAATACAAAGGCAAAGTCAACAGCAGCAGCAAAATCACAAAACCCAAGTCCTATCTCACCGCATGCCTGCAAGGTGGGAAGAAGCAGGAGCCCGTGCCCGGGGATCAGGTGCTCAGCATTCCAGCTCTTAGGAAATGAGGCTCAGAAATCATCAGATCTTGGCATTCTCAAAGACTCGGATGTATCTGTGAAAGTACTTTTATAATATTGTACACCTTTTACAACTACAATTGAGTACTAAATAATAGAGTCATTTTGTTCAAAAGCAATATTTATTTTTCATGAAGATAAGAGACATGTTACATTTGCTATAGAAAAAGCAATGAGAGGAAAAGGCTGCATGTTACTGATATGACAAAAAAAAACCATAAAAACTTCACTTCTGAAAGTGTTCTTCCCTGTAAGGAGATATTGCATAAAGGCATTATTCCATGTGACTGAGCGGTGCACTAATGTGGATTTAATAGGGTTTGTTTTGAAATGAAATTTGTACAATGGCTTTTTTTATGCCTTTGATGGTAACGAAAACAGATTTATTGGCTACGTGTTAGAAGTATGATAGATAACTGATAACCAAGGGAGACGTTTTAATAAAACACTCAGAAAAGGAACACAAAAGTGCGTGGATGTCTGTTTATATTTCAGCTAATAAATACAAAGTAAAGAGAGGGCTTCAACTGAGAACCATTCTGGTTATTGCAGTCTGGAAGGCTTATTGAAAGTTGAGTAGAACACTAGTTTGTCATATTTAGAGCTGTGATGTGAGCTGTACAAACCAGTGAGTGACGAGGATGTTCAGGAAACTGATATTTTCACAGGAAACTTACAAGTGGCCAGGAAGGGGAAGAGTGGTTCCTGATTACTAGTGTCTGCCTGGGCTATTTCTGAGTGTGCTCTGTGATTCTAGAGAATTAAAACAATGGAGTATTTAATTTGAACACTCATGCCCTGAGGAAAATCACCAGACACTTTTAGAGAAGCTTTATAAGGTCTGTATCAATAAACACAAGTCTCTCATCCCTAAGAGCTAAGAAGAAACAAGCTACTCAAGTATAGTTAATTTTGGAAGTGAGAACATCAAATCTAGCCATTTAAGTGGTTTTGGGGCCGTTCACCTGGACATCAAAGATTTAACCAGCTCAGGTGTATATATCAGGCAAACAAGCATGTTGTGGTCAGTAGAATCCTGGACTCACAAAGAAGGCAAAAATGTAGTTCCCAGTAAGCCCCTGGCTCTGTTGGTTTCAGTGTTTCCCCTTACGCTTCTTACTACACAGAATGATGAATCACTTCCTACTTCAGGAATCAGTCTCTTTACAATAGACATGAAGGAGCCAGAGAGGAAAATTTCCTCTAAATATCAATAATTAATGCAAAGCAGTTTACTAGTAGGAGACCAGGGTCTTGCTTGGGCTTCTACCTTGGAGAGCTGAAAGCACCACAGATTTGAAAAAGAGCCCCCCGATCTGATTTCACCTGCTTTAGAAACAGGAATTCTGAATGGTGAGTGAGTCTGTGATTAGGGATTTTACATCAATAAAATTTGGTGGTTCTATTACTGCACAGAAGCTTTCAGGCTATAAATAATCCATTGTGGCTTGCCAACAAAAAATGCTATTGTAAGTCCATGTGTACGTACAGAGGAGACAGGAACACAAAGGCAAAAATGCATGAAATTACCAGCACAGTTTAGAAGAGTTTAAACCCATTATTAAATATGGATTCTACCAAATATCTCATCTAATTTCCAGTTATGTTGATATTTTAATGCTTTATTTTTTTGTTTTATTTTTACTGTCCAAAACTTACTATCAATATCAGTTTAAAAGATATATCCATAATCCCCAGGACATTCTTGAAAGGATTTGCTTTTGTGGAGAAATTTTGGAAAGCAAAAACTAACATCCATAATTCTGTTCCAACTTATATATCATTTCTTGATGGATCATAATAATGAACCTTTCTTTTAGAGATGAATATTAAATGAATTAGGATGCATAAAAAGAAAACTTAAAATGACTTTAAAACTCTTATGTTATTGTGGCACCATTTTAGAGACAGGCAATTGTGGTCCATGCTGGTAGGTATGTAGTGCATCTTACGGGAAAAATGGTTGTATATTTACCCTTTCCCAGAAACCATGCTTTTCCTTTCTTATAATTAAGGCATATATATATATATATTTATATATAAGAAAAGCTCATCTTTTGATTCCTTATGTGCAAGATACTCTCTTTAAGAGATCAAGAACAAAAATGCAGTTTGAAAATTTACCTTCTGAATTTCCTTAAGATTAGTTTGGTGTACTTAACACATCCCTTATTTTGGCAAATTATCAAGGATGTAAATAATTCGACTATATGGTCATACATACTAAATAAACCATTTGATCTATTTACACGCAGGCATGGATATATACCGGTATTGCGTATACATATATATCCTCATATACTATCATTAAATGCAACGCTATATTCTTGGATACAGACGTTAATACACCTTTCTACTTGCCATGGCACTAACAAAGCTAGGTTGCCTTGGCAACCACTTGTATTTCATTGCATTGCAGGCAGCTAGCAAGTTTGGCTGTTGGGGGAAAAGGGGTCCCTTTACTGCATCCTCTTTAAACTAAAGTTTCTTCCATGCTTAATGTAAGGATGTTGTTGTTCTCTTATCGAGGCGGTCTTGAGCTGCAGATGCAATCACATCGTTCATGGTGATCCAACTGGATGTCCACCAGAGCCATGTTCTTAGCTCTGCCCCTCCTCTTGAAAAGGCCAGGCTCAAACCTCAAAACCTAAGACAAGAAGTAGAACTCCTGTTAGAAAACTCTTGGAATGTAATTCAGTTAGATGACATCTAGTCATCCCTTCCCTGATAACTGTTTCTTAACCCTTTGATAAACTCTGGTATCTCAGCTTGATTTTCACTAAGTGCGGTTCCACATATATTATTCCTCTCTGATCAAAGCATGGATTTAGAAAGCACATTATCACCTTAGACAAGGCAATTTCAACAGTATGAACTCAGCACTGGATCATGGTAAAGAATTTTGCCCTGAGAGGTCTTTAGTGGCCATAAATAAATGACAATATATTCCTGTTCTTGTTTGCTTGTGAAGGCATATAATACCTTTGGCATTTCGAAAGAGATCAAGCTTCATTAAAATCTTTGCTCATAATAACTCTGTGTCAACACACCATTTCTTTGGTCAGTAAATATATCCTTAATTTTTTACTTAGTATACCAACATCATTTCTTAAATTTAAAGTACTGAGAGCAGGGTGACATTTGATTCTTCTGGCTTCTCTATTCTCTCCTGCTGCCCACCTATAGAAAATAATAACGGGTATTTTTCAATGAAGACCTAAGTAACCAACTCACTAAATAAACAATGTATTGCATTTAGGGATTTCAAATAACCTTGCTCATGGCAGATATAACATCCCTACTCTACCACATTTGCTATGAGTGTTTTAGAAAAGATAGGGAGTGGATTCCCTACCTAAAGCTTTGCTAAGAAATTTTCCAAAAATAAATATAGCCACTATTGTCCAAGGCAACCTGCATGTAACCAGATTTAGGTGATGGAGGATGCAAGAAAGGAGAATGATTTCTAAGAAGCTGAGCATGTGATAAATCTGCTTTGTTTAAATAAGTCCATCATCAAGGCCTAGCCATTCTCATGACTGGCATCTGTAAAATCAGCACTCAGTGGATTTGCTTTCACATTTGATGGCAAACAAAAGCGAGTGCTTTGGGGGTGAAAGCAAAAGCCTGAGCAGGTTTTTGTAACCGGCTTGATTGTTCAGGGATTTTCCCTATGTTTTATATCAAGCAACGTGAGCACAGTATATATGTGTTTTGCTGATAAGAAGAGAAAAATGAATTCGCAGACACTTTTCCCAGACAAGACAGGAAAGCACTATTTGGATGAAGTGGAAATTGGACTGCTTTGCTGGTTGATCACAGCACTGATGTTCAAAGCTTTCAGACCATGTAATAGTCTTAGGTTCAGGTACACAGCATTGAAAAGAGGAAGAAAGCAGGGCTGATTTGAGGGAGCATGGAAAGTTAAAAGAAAAAATGGAAGGCCTTTCATCAGAGGAAGCAAACTAGTGGTTTATGGGTTATCTGGTCAGCTTTAAAGGGAAGGAACCATTGAATTAATTATAACAGCTGAAGGAAACTTGCTAATAGGTACCATCAAAAAATCCTTTCTTATTTGCTAAGCTATGATTCACAGCTGCAAACACACATGGAAAGATAAAAGCACTGAGGGGCAGTCAGCCATTTCTTAGCACCTATGGGTGAAAATGGAATTCACTCCCCACCCTGGAAAAGTCATATAAAGCTAGGCAAAGTTGACCTCTATTACAATGAGTGACTGGGCCACTGGTGTCTTTTATACACACCACTGTACAAAACAAGAGATGCTCAGTTTTGCAAATTACCGTATCACCAAAGATATTTAACTACAGTTACTTGCCTTGTTGCCAATAAACCACTGAATGAATCATTGACATAAACTGTTATACTAATAAAACAATACCAAGCAGAAAAGCTATCTGCTGAGTCGGGCTCTTGTTTATTGGGAATATAAAAAAGGTTGTTAAGGCCTTGTAACAGTTTCCAAATTAATGGCTGACATAGGAACACAAGCAGGCATTTCAGGGAAAATGTACTGTATAAACCTGAATCACTACGTGTTTATTTAAGATGCTATCCAAACTCTAAAACAGGCGGCATTCATTACATACACATAAAAAAAAAGAAACATGATTCTTAGTTTTGCTTCTATTCTGATTTCTCTCATGTGCAAAAAAAGAGAAAACCCTAAACAGAGTCAAGATTTTTAAGCGATGGTTACTGCAAGTAAACGCATTTGGAGAAGGGATAACCTGTTATCTCCCTGGGTAACAACCCAGCCTGCAGGTGTCAGTCTAAACAGAGGCTGAGCCCTGTGACTAAAGGGCCAATGGCAGTCTTAAGATACAACACTCAATAAAGTAGCTACTAGTCTTGTGTGGGACTTTCCATCCCCATTGGTTGAAATTAAATAAAATGAAAAAGTTCAGTTTTTCCTTGCATCATGTATATTTCCCTCAACCCACAGTCACAGGTTGCTAACAAATGCCACTCGAGACAGTGCAGGTAAGGGAGCATTCATTCTGTTACTGCAAGAAGTTCCACTGGATGATGCAGGTGGCTAAAACGTTGTGACAAAATTCCTGGAAGGAAGGCCAGAAAGATTCACTCCTATCATTCTCTCTCTGATGCCTCCTAATGGGTTAACTGTTAACTAAGACTATGTCTGTAGCCTGGGGACTAAAGGAAAAATAGATATTATGTTAAAAGGTTACCATACTTCCAGGGGATATCCATTTCCCTGTCCACTATGCATTGCCAAGGGAAGACAAGACCTAAACTAATAGTACCCACGAAGAGTCTACACAATACATTTTCTGAAGCCTGTCTAAAAAACAACCATAAACCAAAGAATCTTTCAGAACGGTAGAAGCTGCTCCATAGATTTCTCTTGCCATCTATCAATCACCCTTCTCCTCCGAGGTGTAGGATTTTCTCACTTTCCCCTGAAGCGGAATAACCTAGACTTCCTGTGACGGTGCCCTGCCTGTGCCCTAGTGTCTTGGAGGATCCTGGGACAGGAGAGCTGGCTGAACACACAAGGGCCTTGGGGTATTTCTCCTGACTTACCTGGAGCTCACATTCTGCCTGCTCATATTTCTGTCTACCATCATCAAAGCCACCACAGAGAAAACACTCAGGATGAACTTCATTTCCCAAGGAAAGATCTTGTGCCACAGAAAATGTATAAACAAATTCAGACTTTTCTCTTAGTCGTCTGACTTTTGTTATAGGGGCCTCAGATATTTTACCTTGATAGAACAATGGTTGAAAATAGGTTAAGAGGGAACTTACAACCTTTTGAGAGCAAGAAATAATAATGCATAGTGCTACTGCATTATTGTGTCAGTCGCTGGCAGAAGATGCCTGACCTGTGGAAGAGCAGGGTGTTAGCTTCATTAGAAGTGCTCAGATTTGCCAGCTTTTAGTTCCCTCCCCTCACAGAGAAATATGTGTGGCGAAGCACACAGGCTTGTTATGCGACAAGTTCTTGTTATTCCCTTAAGGGTGTCATCTCTCCTAGAAACTCATTTCACATATCATCAACTGCAACCCGGGGGCTGGAAAGCTGCTTTTTCATCTTTCAGAGGTAAGGAGACAGAAATAGGAAGAAGAGAATAAAGCACTAGAATTTTTTTCCTCGTGAGATTAAGCTCAAGCAACACCCCCTATGCTAGAGATGGGCTAACCCTTCTGCTGTTTCCATGGGGGGCGGGGAGGGTGTCAGCAGACAGTGATAAGTTGACACATTTCAAGGGAGTTTCCGGAGTCTAGGGAACTCTGGCTGGAGTGCTTGTGGCAGGTGTGCAATGACTGACTGAGTGATCCATGCTGCTCTGTCTTGTGTCTGGCATTCGGCAGAATGATTTTGTATAGAGCTTCGCATAGGCCTAAGAGTAAAAACATTATGAACACATGTTTTAAAGAGATGCTTTAGGGTGCACTTTCCAGAGGATGGCAACATTTTATACCACTCATGACTGAACAAAGAAACAAAAGATTTTTTTTCCCTCTAGATACTAATTATGAACAGAAACCTACTGTGTACAAGACAAGAAAGGAGCTTAGAGAAGGAAGGTGGCTGGGTCCTTCAACCTTCATCAGAGGTAACTGGGAAACTGGGAGGCAAGCATCTTTTGGGGCATAGGATGAACTTTTCTCTTTCTACTATAAGGAATTTAAAAACATGCTGAGACTTCTGTCTGAGCACAGAGTCAAGATAAAAATAAAACACTCCACAAATACATCAAAGGCTCGAGCTTGGAGGTCGTTCCCCAGTTATTACTGGGTTGAGATCTTGTCACTTCCTGATTATTTCATTCTGCATTTATCCTTGGAGTACCATTCAACATGACAAAACTGAGGTTCTTCCAATCTAGAGTTCATCAGTTCATGCAAAAATAAAACACAATGAACACAGATGATAGCATTCTCTAGATATGGAAACAGCTTTCTTCCTTTGAAAACAGTGGGCCAGTGTAAGCAATTCTTATGAAAAGAAAATAACATTTCAGGGAGGTTTGAAGACTATGCCCCCATCTAAGCTGGGCCTGGAATTTGTGTCATGACCTTCTGCATTTTCCAGATTGAAAACATCAGTTCTGATGGACCATTTTCGTATAGCCCCCAAGTTACCTCTTACTAATGTATTGTTTTCAGGAATAAAAGAGACATTTTTGTCTCTTTTTAGGTTTTTGCCATAATCCAAAAGCCTTTCCCAAAGGTCAGTTTTACAGAAGTGGAGGACTTAATTTAGAACGATTTGACTTCTCCTTTGTTCTACTGGGTCGTGATGGAAAAGCAACTTGAACAATAGTTCCTAATAATAATGTCTGCTTCAAGTTATACATTTTAAAAGATATTTCTATATATGTCATACCTTACAAGGCACACTTCATTGGGATTATTCTGTGTGATGATATTCAGGGCATCCCTGGAAGGGGTTACCTGGTATAATACCTTAGCCTCGTTTGGTATATTTGAAAACTGAGTCTCTAACATGAGTTGCTATCATCATGTACTTCCTACAATCAGCAAGGAATGGCAATGTCAGGAGCAGCGCCAACTCCTCTAAATCCTGTACTGTCTTAGCTGCTCAGTAAGTTGGTATATATGTCAACAGAAAGAGCGTAGGATGTCTAGGGATTAGAACAGATTCTTGAAGGAGCAGCAGCAAGTTCAGGGCCTGGCTCTGTAATGTACTGACAATGTCTTGCTGTCACCTTGTTGATTGTTCCAGGAACTAACCGACTCACCTACAGAGAGAAGCAGAAGAGTAAGCTAAGAGCACTGCTAAGTGAGCTAATGGTACTTACCGTACAGTGTAGCACCTAGCAAACACTCACACAGAGTCTGCTTTCTTTATTATTCAAGGCTGCTGTTCTTAAGTTTTGTCCCTCAACTTTTATATGTATTTTATTCATTTTTTTTTTTT